TGACATCTATTTTTTTGTAACCCAAGAACTGCCAGCCCCCGCGGGGGACCGGGCAATACACAAATTTAATATCGCCGGGCCGCGAGGGGGGACCGAAACTTCACTTACAGATAGCGCTTAATGCAGTTTATTGCAAACTTGATTCACCCAAATTGGGATGATGGTTTGGCGGCGGTGGTTTGTTTGGTTTCAAAGTTAGAGCCGGGGAGTGTTCCTCGTCGCATCTTCTCAGCCGATCAGCAAAGAAGGGGAAAGAGGCGGCCCGCGGGCCGGGACGTGCGGACGACAAGATCTCGGCGCTCAGAAAAATAACAAATTGCGAGGGGATCTCGCTGTCTTTAAGTCAATAAAGTAAATTTACATTTGAATATGATGACATGCCACACCGCTAGTGTAATGCAATTACGTCAAAGCACACCTAATGGAAAGCCATGATTAAGAGCAAAACAGTAGATATTGTGGCAAACTGGTATGACCAAATCCTCTCCAAACACCAGGCGACGGACTCTGCTATCTGCAAGGTTGAAACCTCTGCCACCCTATCCACTGTTTCGCATAGACTGGTTTAAACATATCCATATCATCAGATCTTGTGTCTGAGTTGGCGTTTCACGCCTCTTGTTGTTTTTGTCTTATTTCGTTGTGTACTTTTCCATGTAGCTGTAGAATAAAATGACTGGACTTTCAAAGTTTTGATCAGAAATGCCACCTTGCATTGCTCCTTTCTTGAATAGAAGGGAAATTGTACAGAATGACTTAAAATCGTAGTTTATCGCCTCATATGACACAGGGAGTTTAAAAGCACTGTGAATAAATTAAATTAAATTCAGTGTGTTGTGTTACTAATAATTAAATAAAAAAAACAATGAAATATCTCTTCCCAGTTTGGAAAAAATAACGGCTTTTAATGAGAAACAGCAACAAATGCGCTTTCAAGCCTGTCAGACATAGTACAAGCCTATCAGACATAGACATATGAGGCAAGATATGGGACTGAGAGCACCACCCCTCCCCCTGCACACACACACACACCTTTGTGTTGGTCGGAATCTCAGGACTTCTTTACAGACATCTGGGGAGGATGTGTCTGGTAACAATAGTCTAGAGTGTGTATAGGGATTGGACATGTAAGAGTGGGTACCCGTCTGCCCCATATCTTGGTACCCCTCTGCCGCACATCTAGCTGGTTATAGACATAGTGAGGTGCCAAAAGCCTTACCCTTGAGAAAGAACAGATGTGGCCATGATCGTCCATTCTTCGCAAAACATAATTTGCCGTTTCAGCATTTGAATTGACCCCATAGCTTTATTGAGAGCCACTGAATCGGCCACTTAGGCTTGTAGACTTTCCAATACCTTGGACTTACCATCACATGGCCTAAAGTTGGCAACCATGGGAAATAAGACTCATCATGTTACTCTATCCCGATCATCAACAGTTCAGTTCTCATAAATAGTTGCAAACTGCGGCCTGCCTTCGGGTCATCTCCCTGGACTCGGCGACGCACTGTCCTTCTGGACATGTTCCTCACACTCGTTTGACATTTCTCCATCCTTCAAATATCTAGAGATCAGCCCCTGTTTCACTGACTTAGAATGGCTGAAAGAGCAGTAACTCCATGCAGTCTAGAAGGCGTTTCCTGTCCGTACCTAGCTGCACCTCAGTGTTTCCTTGCCTTGTCTACCTGTCCTCTTTGTGCAGTGGACTTGCATTCATTGATATCTGCATTCGTTCAGTCACTTGCCTCTCATTGATGAGGTCGTCGCTGCATGCATCACTCAGTGAGCGCCTGATTCTTGGCATTTCACGGTGCGGGGTAGCTTGTAGTGCTTACGGGTGACATTGGGAAGCTTCGGCGATATGACAAATGTGGAAACTTTTAACTATGTTCATAATGAAGGGCAAATGTAGCAAACTTGTCTGTAAATCTGGGAGGAAAAGACAATTAAAAATGTATTTGGAGCTTTACTCCAACGTTTGCAGGTTTGTAGCACTCCAAGGGTGTTTGCGCAGTATGAAGCAGAAGTTTATCGGTTCAAATTTGTGTGGATTAGTTACTCACTGCATGCAATGCGGTCGTTGCAATATCATTGATCGATTCGGTTGTTAGTTTTCAGCACTCGAGTACGGCTGTGTCCGAAACGGGCTTCCAGAGCTACGGCTAGGTCTATTTTCTGCGCGTCTCTACGCATTTCCAATGGAACGAAGACCTAGACCTAGCTCTAGACAACAGATTCGGATGCAGCCTAAGGCTCATTCAGTACAAACCAGACTATCCAGAGACCGGTAGGAATAGACCGTACTTATGTGTCGGCCATCTTGGATTGAAAGTGAGGTAGAATTTTTCATTTTGGGAACCTGAGAGTAAAAATAACAAAGGCGAAATTAAAGTTCAATAAAAAAAATCATGCCACTTTTTGTTTAGAATAACTTTGTGATTGATTACACATCTAAATATTTTAAGTCGCATTAAAAAAAGAAGGTGAGGTTTGCAACCAGAATAGTCTGGCACCAAACTATTGAGCAGATCCATTCTATTGAGTAGATCCAGGGAACAAGATAAAAATGGCCTCCCGCACGATTTAGGTCTATTGCACATTTTTGCAACTGTACTCGGTTTCACGGGGTCGAGTGATTAACTTGTTAAACATTCTTCTAGTTTTGATTCTGGGTATGTGTGATGTCTTTCTCGATCCATCCTGGAAGTACTCAACAGTGTTGGCAAGTCTTAATTGGGTGACCGAGACACTCCTGTTTACATTGAATGGAGTCATTATAATTATGCTTGGAAAATCAGACCTACCCTCAATTAGATATAGCCTGACTTTGAAACACCATTTTTAGGAAATTGGGAGAACATTATAATAACTGAAAACCCGAGCCGTGGTGTAATAATGGAAGGTTGTTTCCAATAGCCACGCTCGCAGGCGGAGGGAAATTTATTGCTCGTTCTGAATGGAGGTATTAGATTATTATACTTGAATGTGTTTGTTCCTCAAATCTGCTGGGACTCGCGCTAATAGAGGTAATAAAGTCGGATCGCATTCGAATGAAAAACACACACATAGCCCTTAACTGTCCCCCAATTCAATCTGCTCTTTTGCAGGCCAAAACGATTCATTATTGGGGAGCGGTTGGGGGAAGCCAGGCAGTTTCTGCTCGAGCATTTCTAAGCGATCGAATGGTGCGGATGTTTTAATAAGGATCGGCCATTGTGGGGGCCATTCTCCCGCGTCTGTATCGGAGGGGGCTTGCGTTACGCCGGGCCCCAAGCCATCCAACAAAGCCGCGATTGAAAGGGGGGCCCCAGTGACAAAGGTGGGACGGTGCTAGCGGGATGACGTGGGACGGGATGGGTCTTGTGTTGGTATTCGTGGGCGGAAGAATACATTCTGTCCTCTGTGACAGCCACCTCGCCCTTGTTCACGGACTCTTGCTTTACTAAAGAGGGGGATGATGCACCGTTTACCTCATCTAATGACTTCACCTCGACTACCCTCGATATTTCCATCCTTTCTAGTAAGCGTATCTCCTCATTTACCAGCTCATCGTTTTGTTCGATGGAGACTGAGGCCAAACGCAGACGAGCCAGCAGACCTGCAGCTAGAGGAAACGGTGTGGTGTTCACCGCAAATGGTTTGCCCTGTCCGAGAATTAAAAGCACCTCTGCAGCTTTAAGCAAACAATTATACATAACACATTAAGGCAATCATAAATCAGGTCGACCCCACAGCCGGGGAGTCTCATCTGTCCAAAGACCAAGAGAGATAACATTGGCTTCATAAACCCATATTTCATCACCCGCACCCGGCTCGACTCAGTCCGGGCCAATTTTCCTAATGAAGGTCTGTCGAGATCACGATGCAGGTCCCGTTCGCATCGAAGCTGGGGAGAAAATTTGAGGAAAAAAGTACTCGGGATGAACGTTTATGTTATCATTGCGATAAGTTGACAACAAGGACGTTGATTTAATCAAGTAATTAGGTGTCGATGTCACGGTGATAACACGGCTTCGCATCAGGTCCAATAACAACATTCAGGACGGCATGCGTGCCGTATACAGGAAAACCGGGCTGGCGTGGGATTATAGGAAGGGGGGAAGGCTAATTGACATCCTGAACCGTGAGCAGTCTCCCGAGAACAATTCATTATGTTTGTCAGAGCCTCATAGACTCGTCAAGTGGTTGAATAAAGAAAGATAAATTGATACATCTTTCCGCATACAAAAGATATCGAGAAAGCTTATAAACACAAAACGACATCGTGTTATACAATTACAAAATATCTCTTTTAATCCTGTTGTTGCAGCTGTAATAGTTACCCTAACAAAAATCCTAACTTTAGAACAGCCCACCTGAGGTTAGGCACCATCGCAATGCATTCTATTGGCTCTACCTCCGAGTCGCAGCATCATCTCTGTAAAGCAAGATTTGTAGTGGCCGAAATGTAGAGGCTATTCACTGTTGAACACGCGCCATTTGGGCATGAAATTGCGTAGCGCACGTGACCCGTTTCAGCCTTTTGGCGAGAATGACCGGAAAGCCACATCTGCCAACAGGAATCGAGTACAAGTTTAGCGCTTGTCTGAGTAGCCACCGGCCGTAACTAACTGCAGGTGTATTCAATCCGACTGTCACATTTAATCTTGATTACTATGGCTGCGCAAAGATATACATTTCTATGAAATTCGAAAAAAGGTCTAACACCAGTTCTAAAGAGGATTTAAAAGGAAGGCCAGGCACGTCTTGTGGAAGTTGTCTCATTTTGTTGGTCCAGTCATAAACTGCTGTTCCCTTGTCGTATTCTTGTCTCTGGCTGTGAGGTATACTTTGAAGCAAGGGATGTGGTAGGCTGTATTGGTTGAGAGCCACTCGAGACCGCTCAAAAGAAGAACTCGAAACCGATCTTGGCGACTCAAAGACGCTTACCCCTTGAAATGATATCAGTGGGTAAATACCGTTCACAGAGAGCAACTCTCCTTTCTTCTCTCAATGTGCAGGCCACCAACACCCCACGATCCTGGGCAAGACCCGACGGCCCAGGACCGCCTTCACCAGCCAGCAACTCCTGGAGCTCGAACAACAATTCAAGAAAAACAAGTACCTGTCCCGACCCAAACGCTTCGAGGTGGCCACGTCCCTGATGCTAACCGAGACACAGGTAACACGACCCGCTCGTTGACGCGCCCTTGACGTCATTCTATTACGAAGGAGATTTCTTGCTTTTCTTTTACTGTCTTTGAATTTGCGATCTCTTGGCCAATTCTGATTAAAAGGGCTCCCGGGAGGTGCCCACTTGGAAACGTGATCTCTTTTGTTAACCGGCATTGTCGAGTTGGTCACTTAGGACGTGTTTTTCTGGTTTTCAGTGTGAAATGTCTGACGGGGGTTTAGGACGGGTAATTATGACGATAATCATTGCTTTTTTTTCAAAGGATGTTGTTTGGATTCTCAGCCAGGGCCTGACCAGGACCGTTAGAATTCTTTCCACTATAACCGGCTCCCTTTGTGTCTTTTGAAAGAGTTCATTTTCTTTTCTTGTTGCATCGATTTCTTCGAGTGATGGATCTTATGTTCGCAATGCAATTATTGTTGAAAAGAATTCCTGTGATTGTTTCAGGCAAGGAAAAGTACACGCCATACCACGAGCGCCCTCTTTTTTTGATTTGTGGAAGGGGCTACTGTAAAATGAATGAAAATGTCGATGTTCAGGTTATAAGATATAGACTGCATTGTCCACCACTCTTATAGCCAAAGAATCATGACGGCCGGCTGTCGTGACAACTCATTCACAGAACGGCTGTCATGATCAATATTCGGCATTTCACGACTTGCTTCTAATACTCGCAAGAACGATGGGAGTTTTTAAAAGCTGCTGAGTTTTTTTTGTATCACTATAACACAATCAGACTAGCGTTTTACACTGTTCATAGAGGACACGCATTCGAAGTTCGGATAATTTTTTCAAAAAGTTTAGAAATTGCAGGACTAAAGAGAAGGGAAAAGTTTGCCAGGGCCGATTTTTCTGAAGTATGTTAGTACGGATTTATTAGGTGCGGTAAATTTAAGTAGAATGTATTTCACCACAGGTGACATTCCATTTGCGTTCGATATTGTTTCTGTTGATACAGCCGGGTGAGTAGGTCCACCCATCAAGATACATGTAAACTTCGCTTTTCAGCGTCAAAAAGTGTGGCCCCATTGCACCGTAAAAATGAAACCTCACTTCCTAATTCTTGACCCCACCTTGGTTATACTTACAGGTCAAGATCTGGTTCCAGAACCGACGAATGAAGTGGAAACGCGGCAAGAAGGTGAAGGAGTCCCAGATCGCGGAGGGGGAGAAGGAAGCCGCGGCCAATCCCGACGAGGGACGGCCTGAGCACGGACCGGCCCCGCTGGAGAAAATCCACCCGGAAGAAGACCACGTTGGTAAGACAGAAGTCCGCAGCGACGGCTCCGTCGAGGGTATCGGGATCCATGACGACGACTACTACGACGACGACGATGGCGAGGAGGACGAAGATGACATGGAGGACGAGATGATTGCGGAGGGATACCTCCACGACAGCTCGTCCAGTGAACGGGCGAACAACAACGCAGGGGACAATGACAACTGCAACGGTGGCAATCGGAATCGATATTCCTCCGCCACTGGCGAGCGGAGCCTTGACTGCCACCCCGTTGAACCAGTGCATTAACCGAACAGCAAACGCGGCTGCTGACCAGATCTTGACCAATTGTAATTAGTGCTGTGACAGTTGAATGTATAGTGCTATATACATGTAGGCTATATTGCGCTTTTTGACTGGCCAGATATTTTCAGAGCCATTCCTGTTCAAAACTTAAATTCAGAGTAATTAGGACTTTCTATGTGGTTGTAAATAAATGTAAAAAAAGGTGTTAGGAGTCCTTTAATTTTGTTGGAAATCAAAGTGTACGTGCGGATGAACGTGTATAAAAAGACATACTCATAAAGAGAAGAGATAAAAAGCTGAATCTAAAAGACTCATATTATTTGTGATTCAGAATTCGGGTATATAACTTTTCTTTGTCACTGATTGAAGTGATGATAACTGATCAGACCACGCAGCTGACTTCAATACAACTAGTTTCTCTTATACATTTCCCGCCGTTTTCCCTGTATGATCAGATACACGCACTTCCGTGTGCGTATTTTAAAAATTGCTTTTGTCCAGTGACAGACAGGTTTTATGGACCAAAATGGATTTGTTGGAACTGTTCCAGATTATGTTCATTGCGAATTGCGTTAAGTGTTATTTGTAATTTTCTAACGAAGGCTCCATTCCTTTTTTTCCCCATGGGTTTATCGAAATGCAATGCGATGCTATGTCATAATGCTTCATTGAACATGGAAATAGCAAACGGTTGGAGAACAAGTGACCAAAAACTGATAAAAGATGCGCATTTGTATCTAACGAAATTTCCGGACCAAAAACATGTTTACGGGGATAATACAGTCAATGCAAAGGACTACATTTGCGGTACTTCATTACAATCGCATTATCTGCATACAAATACACAAAACGTGGCGTGGCCATCATACTCTCATCGGTCATCGACAAGGTTATATAGGTGGTAATGCATTACCAGTGTTTATGTATAGAGTAGATTTTGTCTCAGCAGGAATGTCCAACACCTTTGCCCTTTTATATTGTGGGTTGAGTATCAGATAACATAGTTATTATTGTTTGAGTTAAGGAGAGCGTTAAGCGTTTCTTTTTGTAGCTTCTTGAATAGTGCGAAAGTGGGGGACACTGGAAAGGGGGCCGTGTGTAAGCAGATCGAAACCAGCAAACTCTCCAAAGTGGCGTTTGGCGAACTGGGGGAAATTGGAAAAATCGGGCTGTGTCAAAGTAAGAGTGACGAGGCACCGACTTTGCAAGACAGAAGGGTGAACGTTTGACGCTCGCTTTAACGCTCTGCTATACAGCACCAAGCACTCTGCACAAACATACACGCTTTAAAAGGTAGGCCTAATACTTTTAATAAAGTACCGCGCGGTGTTCGTACGTCATTGCTTGTGCAGTGCAGAGGTGCTGCTGCTGTTCACTGGGGCCAAATTAATCTGAAATCAATAAATTATTTTAAAGCAATTTTTTTAAGTTCACGTTTGTAAATATCTTAGTGTTCACAGTGTAAATTGGCAAGAAACGCCTTATGAGGTAATGTGAATTCATGTATCTTATAATATGAAAGTTTTTTGTTTAAAGAAAGAAAGGTTAATGAAAACACCTGCGGAATTATTCTTACAACTTTATAGTAATGACTCTAAGATCTTGCTTTCATCTTACTTTAAAAAGAAAAGCAAAGCTTGGTCGTTAGTAATACGAAAACAGCAAAGTGCAACCTGTGTTCAGACCGCAATCTTGGGGTCTCGGCATAAAAAGCAGGTATTAGCTTACTGACAAATTCCGAAGGACATGTTTTATGATGCTTCGATGAGGCACCTGTTTGGAATAAAGCAGATGCAGTTATAACACATGTGGAGATATGTAAATCAAATATCCCAAATCCTAATATCTAAACAAATATTGAAAAACGAGCATGACAATGTCCTAATTGCCAAAAATGTATTAAACTTCACAGAGAGGCCGATATGGCTCATTGTGGTACTACGCAAAATGCTAACTAGTAAACAAGTTGACAACACACGAAAATTAACTACACAAACAACATTATGTTCTCTTGTTATTTTCTATCTTCCTATTTACAGTGTTAAGCTAAATGGTTACAAATAAACTGATATGCATAGTTCGGATACCGCAACTCAACACATCTCGTCATATCACTGAATGCCTGACGTGTGCTCCTGGTCCCAAAACAAACCCGATTGAAATGAATACACATGAAAATATGTGCCATGACCTTTTTCTGACAAATATTTGATGATAATTTGGTAACTTGAGTCATCTCACGCCTTCAAGATGACGCCGTAGTTACCTTAACTAGTTTGGGAGGAAGCAGTTTTGCTTCCACCCTCTTAGCGAGCCGTCGAAGCAGGAATTTAGCACAGATTTGCCACACTTCCTCCACTGGAGTTCGTGACCGTTATGGTGTCGCCTGGCACCGCCGCGGTCACACCGTCCTCCGCGGGCCATCAAACATCTCAAAGCGTAAAACCACATTTATTGGAAAGCTTTTTACACGGGATTATTACATTCCCGAATGGCAGAGGTAAAAAATACGCGCAGACGCGATAGCGTCACGGCTGCCGAAAATCATTCCGCTAATGGACATGGATTTATGACGGAGTTTGAGGTAAGAGGGATTGGAGCGGGGAAGAAAGAGGGCAAGGAAAAAAAACTCTCTTTTGCTTGGGAGCTATGGCATTTTGGGCTGGAAATGGTTTTGGTGTATGCGTGAAAAAGCATCGGGGGAACCACACCTCTGGCATGGACGATAATCTAGTTGGCGAGTTGGCTTCTCTCTACACTGTGTTTAACGATGTTCTAAGGATCATAACAACGACAAGCTAATGATTGCGATTTCTTTTCCTTCAGAATTTTGTTGTCAGGATAAACACACCCACGCGACTTTCATGGGCCGCGCATCGATGTATAACAAACTTCCACAAGAATAAAATCCTGCGTTTAGTTCGGCCGGTGGGCGCACTTGGTTTTAAAAACAAAGGAACAAAACGCAAAAGTTGGGACATCATAATGAAACATTCTTGCTGCAAATTTGAAAAAATTTAACCCATTTCAACTCTAAGAAATTTCCCTGGGAATGTTTCGGGACGTCAAATTCTCTCGACTTTCTTGTTCCTCATAAGTATGAATTGGTCTTGAAACATGGACTCATATTTTCTATAAGTGAAGTTCATGTACAGTTTGAATAAAATCCAACACTTTGCAGATCCACCCAGACAGTATAAGGTGTAAAAAAAGTGGTGACTCTTTTTGCGTGAAGGTAGAAACTTTTCTTTAATTTCAAAGTACATGTTCAAACATTCCTCTCTCTTCAGATGCTATACTCTCTCACGGTGCATGCAACCACTATTGTGCATCCTCCATGAGGCGCCACTGTTCCCACTGTTCCCTTATCTTCCATAATGACTACTAAGGTAACACAGTCAAGTCGTCCGTTTGATTATCCCGCGTACATTAAAAGTCGTCTTACCTTATTCTACTCAACACAACATGACAGCCCGGAATGGCTATTCGGAATAGTGCTGGACGGAACGATTTCCTGTATGGACTCCACCCGAGAAAACAAGCCGCAACCGGTGCTTAGATACTTTTGGTAACGAGAGAAAATTGTGCGTGAAGGTTTGAGGTGTCAAGGTTTGATCTATACGCTGATCTTCACAAAACATTCGCGCTCAATACTTATTTCCATCAACCCAGTCCGCTTATCACCTTCTGTTTTATCTTTTTCTGCGTTCGCTTAAATCCTCATCCTTTGCCGTCAATTTCAGATGATTTCGGCCCCATGAAACTTCTATTGGGGAGAGTCTCACATTGCAAGGCATCCTTTACCAAGCAGAAATTCTCAGGTTTTGAAATGTGCACCGAGAAAGGATACAACCATCGGCTTGGCAAACAAACTAATTTTGGCATTATAAGCTGGATTCCGCCAACTCTGCGCCAAGAATAGTCCAGCAAAAACACTCACTTCCCTGTAACTCTTTGTAGCTTTATCACTTTCAAATCGTGAGATTTTTTTGCGCCACACTTCCCCCTTGAGCATCGCATTTAGACTTGAAGATTTTGTGAGGCAAAATAACCTCGCATTGACTGACTAGGCGTAGGCGTACGTGACTCTGTGATGCGGGTAGGCACAGGCCCAACCAAAACACGGACAAGTTGAGAATCAATGGGCAGAGTCGATAGGAATCACAGACTCAAGATGAGAATAAGGACAATAAGAACTATATTTTGTTTACTTTCGGTTTGGGGAAAATGAAGGAGTGGCTTTACTCAGAAATGAACTCTCGCGTGGAATTTCTTGATTGTATATTTTCTGAAGCGGTCCCCTACCCACGATTCCTGTGTTTTGGTTGGCGATTTATTGGGTTACACCACATGGAAATTAAGACTGAAAAAGAAGTGGCAAATCAGAAGTTTGAGTCAATACTACCATTGCAGTGTGATCTTTTTTTCAGGAGAAAGTCTTCTTAGACTATTGTGACCGAATTTTGTAGAAACTATAGACGAGTTAGCAATATTCTATCAAGTGAACGGAGTATGTGGTGTGTGTTACGTGATGTACAGTTCAGAACACAGCCGTTGAGCCCATTCGGTATTTAAAAAGGGCAATGCCATTCGAGAACCAAGCGCGTGTTCGAGTCGGCGTACAGCCGGGCCAAAGGACAGACCTCGCGCACTCGTATTGCTGTTCCCGAATGACCTCGGATTCGTTCGGGTTGCGGGCCAGTGAATAGGTCCAAAATGGCCTGCGTGGACCGAATAACGATTTGTAGGCTGTCAAATTCTCTGCTATTAGAGCCTTTCGAAGCACGTAGACTGGTTGGTTTGTAGAAAAGAAGGATGGAATTTAGGAGTAGGAATACCATCTTGCATTTCTGAAAGTGTCAGACCAAACGGAGCCCCCAAGTTGCTTTATTTAGCAATGGAGTGTAGGAATCAATTTTCAAAATGGGGATGAGCCTCATGACTGTTTTATGGGGTGGTTTTCCCTGGAGAGTAATATCTTCAAAAGTCATCGGTTAAGCCACTGAAAATTGAAAGGAAAATGAACGATGACGAAGTGAGTTTTAATTTAATATGTGTCTTGAACACCTGAGAAGCTTGTATTTTTCCTGATTTCTTGAAGTGGGGATATTTATCACTGTTGTCGATGGCAGCTTACTCCGTTGTTGGAATACCGAATCGGCTCATTAATAAAGTTTCACTATATCACTTAGTGTCTAGAAATTTGAGATCCGATAGGTAGATGGACAGCGTGCGGAGGTTTGACGAAAGCTCAGCCACCTGCAAACATAATCTATAGGAGGATTGATCAACCTGTAAAGGCAGCAGGGTGATTTCCATCTCTGTCACAGACATCTTGCATTGTTGTGATATCAGCGCCGTTCTTGGCAGCATATCGGTTATATTCTATCAAATTTGTTGTCAGTTTGAGGTCGAACTATTACCGTTCGGAGGCAGCCATGTCGTTGGTAGCTGTAATCAAGACACAGCTGTGCTGGAGCGTCATTAGATTTGCCTTAATGGGGCAGGTCTACAGTAACCGTGCACTGCAAGACCGCCCCCCTCCAGCGTAACACAATATTTGTGGCGGGAGTCATCTCTATTCAATAAACAGGCATCCAAATGACCCCGCGCGTTAGCTTCCTTTTATCTCTCATTCACCGAACCCGAATTCAAAATGCCTGAGCTCATGTTGATTTAACGGAGATTTTCTGCAGCTTCAGCGGCGCACTTTCCCGCAGCGTCCGGCTCCTCAGTTTCATCTGATCGATGGAAGGGGGGGGGGCTTCGTTCAGTGGATATTTGTGGGGCAGAATGATTCAGCGTACCCCACATTTTACCGGCACTGATCAATTTACCGGGCTGGCAGGCCTATTGGATTGACGGGCTCTCGCTCCCGTCAGTTGAGGTGGAGTGAGGTGTAATTAGAATTTGAGGAAAATCAGGGGAAATTTCGGAAGAATTTGTGTCGATTGGGAATGATACGGAAGAGATGAAGCAGTCGACGGGAACTGTGTGATCAGTCTGGAAAACTGATTTAGAAAAGGACAAATGCGAAGAGTATATCAAGGGTGTCCAGCCAGGACTTGACTGCTATGGGTTTTTTCATACATAAAGAACATACAAATTTAAGGGAAATTGAGCAATGTAACATTTTGTCCAGCTACAAATCATTTGTGTTAACACCTTTAAGCTTGAGGAAGAACCAGTTTGGCATTTGCGCGGTTAACATTGTCCCACAGTAGATTCTGCCTTAATTTTGCACGTAGCACAAAATGGCAGTCAGTCGACTGCAGGATTGGACCGCGTCAACGCATACTGTGCAATTACGGCTTGCCCATGCGATGTCTTTTTTCCCCATGCATATGAAAACCATACAAACTGACAACAGCGAAGGCGTTTGCATCTGTAAATACGACTATCACTGATCGACCATTCCTCACTGAGCAGTTTGCTTAACCACGATATCGCTTAAGCTCGCACGTGGGTGTGACCCGAGGAGTGCAATTGGTACCGTGCTAGGAAATTCGCCCCCTGCCACGGCCCTTCTAGGACACTGGGATAGGCTGGTGATCCCCGTCACAAAATTATGTAGTACACCCATTACAAAGGACCGTGGGTTGCTTGCTACCTTAATGGATGAGCGCTAATTCAGCACGCCGTATTCACGAGCATTATGTTCAAACAAATCTTATCCAATGAGGGCTCGAAGAAATTGCGCCATGCATCTTATGGACTCTAGCTCGTCCCACATTCGAGGTGAAAAATATGTACACATCAGCCGCTTGAGGGCTCTGCTCTGAACAGCAAGTAATGTTCCTTTATTGGCAAGCCTTTGTTTGGACAGAGAATTTGCCTTGATTGGAAATGGAATCATCCATAAATTAATGACATTCGTGTGACTGCCTATAGAGAATAATACTGAGACGTAAAGGGTTTTCTGTGTGTGTTTGTAACTGTTGGTAAATAAAGGGGACGGCATGTGATTTGCGGCAGACCTCATCTTTTTCTGTTGAATTCGGTACCATCAACCAACATCAAAGCGGAAAATAGAAGTCCTACGATGTCCCCTTCAGCAAACGAGAAACAACGAACAAAA